TGGGAGAAGAGGGGGTGGGAACAACTACTTGTTTTTATTGATCATAAAATGATCACCCTCTCAGCTGAAGCTGCCTACAACTCGGTATAGAAATGTCTGTTTATATTATCAACAGGCAACGTTTTAAAGACGTGGGTTATGTCCTTTCTCCATTTTTGCCTTACGAGTATCAGCTTATCCAAATGTCATGGTCAGACTCATTTGAAACCCCTCAATTCCAATGATCACTGGACTCCTCTTTATCCAGATATTTTCTGGTTATTTTGTCTTTCTTGATCTGTGATAAGCAGTCATTACGATGTCATTTCCAGTTCAGATGTTCTGTACTTTTATATAAAATAAAGCACACCTTAAAAAAAATTCTCACTATGCTTCCAGAAGACAGGTAGGTTTGTGAGCATTTTTGGCAACATGAAATAATGTCTTTAGGAACCAAAGTGATATCAGTCTTTTCATGAGTTACAACTGATGTTCACACATCATCATAGTTTAAGGTTTAAATTACTTGTTCTTAAATTATAAATTTATACCTACCCCTAATGAAAATCATCTACTACTTTACTGTTTATTCATGCTAACCTGTAAAGTTTTCTATAGTTTATCCTCAGTTGTTTATTATGGCACTCCCAAGGAAATGTGAATAGAAGCAGGACACTTAGATATAGTTTATGTTTCTCAATAGTATTTTTTTTATCTATGCTTTTATTGATTTTTAGAGAGAGAGGAAGGGACAGAGAGAAACATTGATGAGAGAGAAGCATGGACTCGCTGCCTTCCTAATGCCCCCCACTGGGGATGGAGCAGGCAACCCAGGCATGTGCCCTGACTGGGACAATGCTCAATCCACTGAACCACGCAGGCCAGGCTCAAGGATATTTTGTTAATGTCACTTAATTGTTATAAAATTGACAACCCTATCTGCAGCTGTTTTCAGCACGAATCCCTAAGAAAACCATGTAACCAATTTTCTTTTCATCCTGAGTATCTCATTCCTAAGAAAATCTTTCATTTTTGATACATCATTTCCCACAATCTTCTTCTAACTTACATGCCACGTTTTGTGATAATTCTGGTATTGCTCATTTCCTCCACCCAGGAAGGTCAAGTAGTGGCCAACTTTGAGTAACTGTACATGCAGAACAGTGGTTTTGACATCTTCTGGCCACCTGGTCTTAACTTGGCTTCCTGGCCACCTGGTGTTTTTCCATTCCTGGGCCCAAGTCCATGTACTGTCTCAGTATCATTTATATGCGGAATTTTAAGAAGCCAAACTTGTAAAATCAGAGAATAAAGTGGTGGTTACCAGGGGATGGGTATTGGAGGGTGAGGCCAGGTAATTTTTAAAGGTACAAACTTACGAGTAGTAAACAAGCCCTGGAGATCTAAGGCACAGTACAGTGAATATAGACAACACTAGTGTACTATAATCATCAAACTGCTAAGATTAGAGTTTAATTGTTCCAACCACTGACAGGAAAGGACAGGCCTGGCCAGTGTTCTCAGCAGCTGAGCACTGACCTACGCACCAGGAGGTCCGGGTTCGATTCCTGGTCAGGGCACATGCCCAGGTTGCAGGCTCTGTCCCCAGCAGGGAGCGTGCAGGAGGCAGCCGATCCATGACTCTCTCTCATCATTGATGTTTCTATCTCTCGCTCTCCCTCTCCCTTCCTCTCTCTCTAAAAAATCAATAAAAATATTTTAAAAATTCACTTCTATTCAAAAAAAGGGGACAATTATGTAACATGAAAGAGATGCTAATTAGCGCTACAATGGCTATCATATTACAATATATCAGGGTATTGAATTAACATGTTGTGCACTTTAAATTTACACAATATTGTATGTCAAATATATTTCAATTAAAAAATAAAAATAAAACTTAAATGTGCATTAGACTCACTTATGGATGTTGTTAAAATGCAGACTGTGATTCAGTTTGCCGGCACAGGGCACCAGATTCTACATCATAAAAGCTCTAGGGGAAGCTTGACTTCAGCTACACTTCCTATAGCCAGGCACTAGAAACTTGCCATAGCGTTTGACAGGGCTTTTTCTTGAAATTCTCTACTCCTTTGGATTTTGCTACACCACTTTTTTGGGGGCTCTCTTCCTTGCTAACCGTTCCTCTTAAGTATCTTTTCTTCATATCACTTCCTCTGCTCTTTTTTTAAAAAAATATGTTTTTTATTGCCCGGCCGGGCGTGGCTCAGCAGTTGAGCGTCGACCTAGGATCCAGGCAATCAGGGTTCGATTCCCGGTCAGGGCACATGCCCGGTTGCGGGCTTGATCAATGACTCTCTCATCGTTGATGTTTCTATCTCTCCCTCTCCTTTCCTCTCTTTGAAATCAATAAAGATATATTTAAAAGAAAAAATATATATATATGTTTTTTATTGATTTTTTAGAGAGGAAGAGGGAGAGAGAAACATGGAGACAAGAAGATCTGCTTTAACCATACGATAATTTCCGAACTGTAGCTAGTCCCCAGACCTATCCATGATTTCGCCTGACTATGTAATATTGCAATCTGGATATTCAAAAAATTCAAAGGTCCCAACTAAATTTATCTCCCTCCACCCCCACCACCTCTTTTTCTTCCTCTAATTGAGATAATGGTGCTATAATCAAACCAGAATAAATCTGGTTAGTGTTTGTGTCCAAGGAACACTTGTCTACTGAGTCGTTGACCTACAGCATAGTTGGCATTTAAATCACCCAGTGATCTGCATGTTTCACACACCTCCCAGAAATGATTCTGATGCAGACGACCCTCAACACCCACTCTCAGAAATGCTGCCCTAAGGACATTTTCAGCTATTCCTGGCTATAGGACCACAGGGCGTTTAAAAACATTTTCCAAGGCAGAGGGCTTGGGATGGAAATAAGGGATGGTTTAACCTTCCCCTTATCTTTTTATTTTATTTTATGGATTTCAGAGAGAGGAAGGGGGAGGGGGAGGGAGATAGAAACATCAGTGATGAGAGTCATGACCAGCTGCCTTCTGCAGGCCCCCTACTGGGGATTGAGCCCAGAAATTGAACCATGATCCCCTGGTTCATGGGTCAATTCTCAACCACTGAGCCACACCAGCTGGGCCCTTCCCCTTATCTTAAGAAGAGCCTCCCAAGTTGCTCCAAGCAACAGCACACACTCTGTAAAATCGGTGTACTTCTATGTACAGTCAGTTTCAGGTCAAGTTATCAGCCACCCCCTTCCTTATAAGATTAACAACCCTAAACCCTTTCATACAGTTATTTCTAGACTACCAATATTTGCCCTTATGACAGTTACTCTTGGAAATAAAGAACATTTTCTTGCCATTTGTTTTCCCTTTGGTCTTATTTCCACATTACTGATTTAAGAAATTGAACTGCAAAGCCTATAAATATCTCAGGTGGGCAATGCATACCTCTAAGATAAAGATAACATCCATTGTTTAATTTACATCTCCCCAAGAAAACGTTTTCAGACCACCTTGATGAGCAGTGGTTTCCATTAATAACACCTTTTATCATAGAGTCGTGGTTTGTATTATATTTTTAATATTAAGAATACAGTGTGTAGATAGACATAGATGTAGATATAGATAGGTATAGATACACAGATACAGAGATAGATATAGATAAAATAGATCTAGATATATAGAGATATAGAGATAAATATAGATGATATAGATATAGGTGATATAGATATAGATGATATGGATACAGATAGTTTGAAATCTTTAGTAGTCTCAACCTAACACCCTTTAAGCGGTGGAGGAATCTGCTTTGTTGCTATAAAGAATTCTAACTTGATGTTATGCCTTTTAGTTCAGAAGTGAAATGATTTTGCCCAAGGTTATTAGAATAAAACTGGAGTTTAATTAGTCACTTTGAGACACAGCAACTAAGTGCTGATTCTTTTTTAATCTTTAACAAGCTCCATTATTTACATAGGCAGGTTGATGCCAACATTTCAAAAATCTGAATGAAGTAATACAAACCACGTAACTTTGAAATATTTTGATATTCTCATATTCAGGATGAAATACCTTTTTCATACTGATTAAGCTCTGACGCTGTTTTTAAAAGGAAACAGTGCCAAACACAGGTTGAAATGCAAAATAGCATGATACATCAACGCACAGGGTCTCGGCTCATTTTAATTTTCTCTCTTTGCGGCCTGTATATGCATCAGATTATCCTGAGGTTCAGCCTCAACCCCGTCCCTCTGCATATCAACATGCACAATGAGGGGGTCCTTTTTTTGCAATGGGAAAAATCAGTGGGAGCTGAATTAAGAGGCAGTTTACCTGGGTTCTACTGTGTTTTGCTTTGATTTCAGCCGGGGAGGCGTTGGTCGACCCTGCGTTTCCTAACCCGGAGCGGGCGGCGCGTCCCGCCGCGGTCCCCGCGGGTGTTTTCGCCGTAGGCGCGGTGCCCGAAGCACCCCCTCGCCCTCCTCTCTCCCGCGGCCCCGGGCTCCACGCCCGGCCCCT